TGCATTATTCGGATTCAGAATGGTTTATTATCCATACATTTACATAACATTATCATTTGTTATGTTTATTCCAAATGAAATGAGTGTTATTTGACTTGGATTTATCTGGTTATTATTCCGTTCTGAAAAAAATGAATTTTCAAGAAATTATTATTTAAAGTTTTGCTTATTGCATTATTCTTTGTCAGTTCTTTTAATTATTCGAGTTAATAGACTTAGAGTTTCTACAAAGTAAAATATCATATAAAAAGAGAAGTTACAAATCCTCATGAATGCTTTTTATTACACTGTATGTACAATTTAAAGAATTCATTGACTTCAAGATATTACGATTTAAAGTGGGGCTTTTCATGTCTTGTATGTCCACAAGGAAGTCGGGCTGCACGTACTGTGTGTGTGTGTGTGTGTGTGTGTGTGTGTGTGTGTGTGTGTGTGTGTGTGTGTGTGTGTGCGTGCGTGCGCGACCAATGACAGTCCTACCTTATACAGTGGGTGACATTAATATCACCGTGTAGAAGTACTTTGAAAAGTTGCTCCACTAAATATTAAAAAAAACACCATCAAAGAAGCCCTTTTTCGCAAAATGTACTTCTCAGTAGTTAAGTAGGATTTTGAATGTACTTTAACCTGTTCATTTGTATCATGTGGTATTACTACTGTATTAGTGAACTATGACTCCAGTACAATCACCAGTGGTGCGATAAATACTCTGAAGCCAAAGTCTTGTATTTCAAATCTTAAAGCCCCTCCTCCAACACACACGAACGCACACATGACCAATGAGGGCACGAGATAAGTTTGTGCACAGGCGGAAGGCTGACAGGCAGGTAGGCCATCCAGTTACTTTAGCCGGGCCGGCTCAGATGATTGGTCGTGCTTTTTAAAGTACCACGGCTTCCACAGATGATTTTTTTGTCAAAGCACTTCAGATATTCATTGCTATCGGGATGTTAAGAGCACTCCATGGAATATAACAGGTGTATCTCGAGCCGGTTTCTCAAACTGACCTACCCCACCTTTAAGTTAAAAAGCAGAACAAATCACAGAAGCCATTTCTTGCATACTAAGTAGCTTTTAATACCTAAAGTACAAGTAGGAGTAATGCAGTACTTTTACTTGTAATGAAGTATTTTTATAGATTGCATTAACGTCTGAATACCATTGTTGGACAGTGGGTGATCAAAGTGATGAACACAATAACGCATCAATAATTATAACTCCGTAATATAACGTTTATTATTATGAAAAGGGGAGTTTTGGTTCTTCCAGATTGTATATTTTTGATGGTGCAAATGCTTGTCTTTTGGACACTGGGTGTGGTTATAAAAGCATTTCAAGTCAATCCTGTTCAGACATTGAGCAGCCTTTAAATCTCTCCCGTCTACTTTATTCCAAATCCCACACAACCTGATATGTTAAAATACTTGAAGGATTAGAGGTAATGAGGAAGTATAATGCACTCATTATAATACAACCACATATTTAAGTGCTAGTGTCAACACAAAGAGATCATGATACGTAGCTTATAGCGATTACTTGCGTTATTGATTACTAGTCCTTTGGTTTATTAAGAAAAGCGTCATACAATCAAACACAGGGAAATGTCAGGAGTCATGCTCCGCTCTGACAGAAGGCCAGAGAGAAGAAGTGAGTCTTCAGTGAGGATTTAAAAAGCCCCAGGGTCTGGGCCGACCTCACATGGGGGGGGGGCAGAGTGTTCCAGAGCCTGGGGCCAGCTGAAGGCTCGGTGCCCTCGGGTTTGAGCCTGGTCTTGGGCACTATCAGCAGCAATGTTGTGTGTGTGTGTGTGTGTGTGTGTGTGTGTGTGTGTGTGTGTGTGTGTGTGTGTGTGTGTGTGTGTGTGTGTGTGTGTGTGTGTGTGTGTGTTACCTGTCTTATGTATATATATGTGTGTGTTACCTGTCTTAGTGTGTGTGTTACCTGTCTTAGTGTGTGTGTTACCTGTCTTAGTGTGTGTGTTACCTGTCTTAGTGTGTGTGTTACATGTCTTATGTATGTGTGTGTGTGTTACCTGTCGTGTGTGTGTGTTACCTGTCTTAGTGTGTGTGTTACCTGTCTTAGTGTGTGTGTTACATGTCTTATGTATGTGTGTGTGTGTTACCTGTTCTTTTCCCGTGTATGTAACATGTCCTGTGCTAATGAATGCTACCTGTCATATCATGTTTGTGTGTGTGTGTGTGTTACCTGTCTTATGTATATATATGTGTGTGTTACCTGTCTTAGTGTGTGTGTTACCTGTCTTAGTGTGTGTGTTACCTGTCTTATGTATATATATGTGTGTGTTACCTGTCTTAGTGTGTGTGTTACCTGTCTTAGTGTGTGTGTTACCTGTCGTGTGTGTGTTACATGTCTTATGTATGTGTGTGTGTGTTACCTGTCTTACTGTGTGTGTGTGTGTGTGTGTGTGTTGGTGTGTTACCTGTTCTTTTCCCGTGTATGTAACATGTCCTGTGCTAATGAATGCTACCTGTCATATCATATTTGTGTGTGTGTGTGTGTGTGTGGTTAAACTGAGTCACTGAACCAGTAACGGTGAAACAAACAAAGTGGCTTTCAAACCAGTGCTTCTTCATTGCAACAAAGCACAGCAGGAGCCTAACATGTCAGTAACTCCTCGATCATAATAAACAGAAGCTGAGCAGTCTCCGTCAGTCGGCCTGTGTTACCGTGCAGCAGTTCATTATCTTCACAGCTGCACTCGGGCGTTTTCTCGTCAGTGCGGAGATCTTCAAAGTGTCACTCAAGGTGCCGATGGCAGATGGGAGACTCGCCTCAGGCTGACTTCAGAGACATGCAGCCTTTCTGAAGGGACAGAGACTGAAGCTCAGGGAGCGTCGCCTTAAGAATAACACATGAGTCCTGTTGGAGACACTTTGAAACCAAAGGATCTTCTTGTTATTTAAAGTTAATTTACTGGATAAAAAGAAGTTAGTGGTTTAGTTAGGACCTTTTTAAAAGTGCACCAAAGTAAGGGAGGCT